TTGAGTTATTTATTATTAAAAACAAAGAGCCCCGCCCTGCCCAGGCCCGGTCCCCTGGGGGAGCGCCGTCCTCAGTCGGTGGTCTTGGGGGCAGCCTGGCCAGATGCTCCGCCGCACGGACCCGAGAGACGACAACACGTTGTGTGAATAAAGTACAAAAGGACACTTGGCGAGTGTGTGGCCGCCGCCGCCTGTTGCGTCCGCCGGGGGTCGGGGAGACGGGCGAGCGGTACCGGGAGGGCTCTGGCCGCCGCCGGAACCAAAAGCAATGCCTGCTGGCCGCTGGGGGACGCGTGTTCACGAGGCACCGCCCGCCGCACGACCAGCCGGCTGCTCCCCGCTCTGCTGGAGGATGTGGCCGTGGAGCGCGGCGCGCCGGGCCTGGGCCCTGGCCTTGGCGCTCTCACGCCGAGCCCCGGCCCGCGGCCCGGTCAGGGGCGTCTCCTACACGCAGGGCCAGAGCCCCGAGCCCCGGACCCGCGAGTACTTCTACTACGTGGATCACCAGGGCCAGGTGGGCCGGGGAGGGCGCGGGGGGCGGGAACGGGGCCGGGCAGACCCGGCCTTGCGGCTGGAGAACCCGACTGCGGAGCTGGGCCAGCACGCCAGAAAGCGGGGCAGCCAGCGGGCCGCCGCCTCGCCGCTCTGTGCACCTCCGCGTCCTGCCCTGCCCGGGCAGCTTTGCTTGGTGTACCGGGCGTGTCTGGGAGGAAGCTGGCCAGGTAGCCTCCTTGGAGGAGGCAGCACTTCTGATTAGAAACTTAAAAGGAAAAAATCCTGCCAACTCTTGGAAACCCGTGTGGAGAAAGAGGCCCCCGGGGTTAGCCCCACACCCATATTGCGCGCAGACAAGACGAGGCCCCGGGGCCGCGCCGCCTGCCCGCAGGGACTCACGGCCACGGCCTGCCCTGTCTGCAGCTCTTCCTGGATGATTCCAAAGTGAAGAACTTCATCACCTGCTTCAAAGGTACCGCCGCAGCGCCCTCGCCCGCCCTCAGGCCAACCCTGGAGGAGCTCCGTGTCCCGCAGGCTGCATGTCCTGTGCTCGGGAACCCTGTCCTAGTGGGGCCCGTCCTGGGGGTGGTACAGGGCGAGATGCCTGCCTGAGGAGCAGGGCCCGGGGCCTTGGGCGCCCAGCAGGTGAGCAGCCCAGCCCTTCGCCCCTCCAGACCTGCAGTTCCTGGTCACCTTCTTCTCCCGCCTGAGACCCAACCGCAGCGGGCGCTACGAAGCCTCCTTCCCTTTCCTCTCCCCCTGCGGCAGAGAGCGCAACTTCCTGCGCTGCGAGGACCGGCCCGTGGTCTTCACGCACCTGCTGGTCGCGGGCCACGGGACGCGCGTGTCCTATTGCGGCGGCGGCGAGGCCCTGGCTGTGCCTTTCGAGCCCGCGCGCCTGCTGCCCCTGGCCGCCAACGGGCGCCTCTACCACCCAGCGCCGGAGCGCGCGGGCGGCGTAGGCCTGGTGCGCTCGGCGCTCGCCTTCGAGCTCAGTGCCTGCTTCGAGTACGAGCCCGATGCGCCCGCGCTGCCCTCGCACGTGCGCTGGCAAGGCCGCCGCCTCGCGCTCACCATGGACCTGGCTCCACTGCTGCTCGCGACACCATCGCCCTGAGCCGCAGGTAGGGCTGGACCTAGAGGCTGCGGGCGTCCCTGCTCCTCGGCGTCCCCCACCGTCCCCGCGTCCCCCGAGATCCTGCGGCTACTGCACGGCGCGGACGGAGTGCGCGTGCGCGCGGAGGCGGCCGGTGAGCCGGGACCTGCTCGGCGCTGTCCGA